CATTGCTTGTTTGGAATTGGTGTCCGCCGGATTCCCTGTCCATCGATTGACTATCTGTCACCATTCATCATCATGTACGAGCGGCGATACAGCTAATCAAATTGTTCTCATTTCAACATCACCTACGTGAGCTCTATTTTTGCCCTTCCGTTCATCCAGAATCAACTATCTGGGAGAAGCTTCGACAGGAGTCTCTTTTGACAAGGCTATTCCTTTGCTACCCATCACCTCTCAGGCACGATAGTTTTAAACCATTTTCAATAGGATCTATTTGGGCATCAAATTCTTAGTTGTTTACAAATATCGATCTTGGCTTTTCGCCTTTGCAGGTCCAAAAAGCAAACCATTGTCGAGGTCCTATTGAGAAAATTTAAGGGCAACTTCTCTTTTTCTTCAATGCTTTCTTTGATGGTTACTTTTACGTAATAGGTGTTATTCAGAGTTAGGCTACATTTGGATGCAACTAAGCCTAAATGATGTTTATAACGGCCAGCCGGTTTAACTAGTTGTGCCAACGTGGCCCATGGCTCCGGTATCGTTTTATTAGCTCAACTTCTCAGTGATTTTTCCTTGCTGTAATTATTTTCTTTAGACCCGCTTTTTCGAAGATAATACCTTGGGTAGAGAAATGGTCGCTCTCCCATGCAGCTATTTGCAACAAATTTTATTTACAAATGTGGTTGCGATCGTTCTGAACTTAAGCCACTGTAGAGTCACATGAAAGCTCTCTAATTCAATACAGTAACGATTGTTTGTCATGCTTTAAACATCGATGGACGTTTAGAATTCTGCGTATCCCTGTGGTAGGCAGATGATGTCACGCCCGGAAAAAAGCACGTTGATGCTCATCCCCCAATTTTTTCAGTAGATTACCTTCTAAAGACGGACAAGAATTTTGAAAGTAATCTCGTGAGTTTTCCTCACTGAACCATCGTTTTAACCTGTACCATTTGTCCGTAGCGATCATTCAATCGAGGTCGAACGAATTGCCAACCATCTATTCTTATTCAACAGCGTTTGCCGATCATTTGCTCATCGCTGCATTCTCAGCATGTTTATCCGCCATATTGTCACCGACCGCCCAGATGTTCCTGTTTTTAATCAAAAGTACCAATGTGCTACTGAATGAATCTTCGATTTCATCTCTGTGGTAGAAGCATTTAGTACTTGAGCTCCTTTCCATGCCTTTCCCTTGAATGTGTTGGTACTATAACATGGTCCCCTTCCTTTAACCATATTTGAACCGGTCAGAAGGCGATCTTCGTCTGAGTCCTTCGATCTATAAGCCACCCATACTGTCACAAATCCAAATGTTCGCTGTTTATCAATCTACCTATTAGGTTATGTGGACAGCTGCTACCCAGCCAGAACTCGCTTGTTATATATTCAAAATATTGAAATTTTTTACTGCCGATTTTCTTTTCTCACTCTCTTAGTTCTGAGTTCAATTAGTGCTGAGTGAATCCGTGCTTCCTTGTATACTCAAGCCTGTCTGACTCCTACTGCAATCGATCGGGGCAGCGTGCCAAACGAACATTGGTGACTTAAACGACAAATTATATTGTGTCATTAAGAACTTTGCTGCGATTATTTT